ACTGGACGCCTGATCGACTCGACCAACTCGTGCTGTGTGGGAAGTGACTTCCTCAAGAGGCCTGAGCAAGGCGAAACTAACATAGGGTTTTGGGGCCCCTTATACTACGATTATAATGGGGAACCCCCAAAACAGTATAGGTAATTATTGAGGCCCCTGTAGTATGATGTTCGGCTCATGGGCTCTTGTCTTTTAGTGAATTCATGCAGACTCGGCCAGCCGTGGAATCCGACATAGCACGGGTTCGCTGCCAAGGGCCTCTGAAACCAACAAGCCAAGTTAAGTCTTGGGCTTGCTGCACATCGTCAGTTTGCACTCAGACTCGAACTGTCCAAATCGTAGGCCTTTCTCAGCACATTGGCCTGACATCTTTCTGGCGGCAGCTTTTGCAGCGATTCACGCTCGCAAGGAATATAGCCATCCCACACCGCCGGGACAACCCACATCACCCCTAAGTCCGAAGCTAGGCGCAGCTGCTAATTGCCTAATCTTGCACAGCATCAATTGCGCGGGGATGCACGGAAGGTCCGAAAGCCCGATTCTCACAACTGGGTCGCCCCACACGAAAGACACTCTCTGTACCACGTCCATGCCTTGGATGGCGATTAGAGTCTGAGTGCTTCTTGGCTTCGAAAAAGGATTCCGGGTTTAGTTCACAAGAGCGTCGTCCCGCAGCATACAGAATCTCAGCACGTGCTTCTGCACATACCGGACCATGCCTTAGAATGTTGGGATAAGAATGCCAAGGGACAAACCAAAGGTCAAGAAATCTCTACACCAGCGCCACTAAGCACAACAGCTACAGTACCCTGCCCCCTTGGGGCGTCACAACCCGCAACATAGCCTGGTGTTTTGCCCAAAGACGCCAAACAAGGCATCCGTCAAAAAGACCAAATGTCCCGGTCCTGTGCCAAGTGGCCAGACGAAGATCTCGTATCGCAGGCCGGGCCAGGGCTGGCGAAAGGGAGTGGCATGCAGAGCACGTGAGTTCGGGACCTTGATAGGCTTTGATCTTGGAGGGGTTCGCTGAGCTTCCGAGCATGTCGCACAACCTTCCACTAATTCATTCGGGACTTTCAGGTTGCAGACTGGTTGCAGAGCATCGGGCAATGGAGGTTTAGTCCAAGCATGGAGCCACATCAAACCGCAAACATGCTGAAGCATGTTTCCCCGTGCTTGGAAGAATCATTTTCGGAAGCAGAATTGCAGCTCCTGTAGCTGCACATACACCCTGTTCTTGGATTCGAAAGCGGCAGGGTGAAACGGAAAAGCCTACGCGAAGCTCTCTGCTATCGACTCGACAGAAGTCCCGAACTCCCGCCTGAATCTCATGCCACCGGATTTCGGGCAACGCTAGCCCTCTGGGGGTACAAACAGCACCTTGCGGCAGGCTTGGGATGAGGACTTGAGGTGTTTTCACGCGTCGGTGACATTGAAGTTCCTGTTTCTGAGGTGGGTCGACTCTGAACTCCGCAGCATGCCGGTTCTGCTTTAGTGTATGCGTACTGGGAGCGGATGGAAACATGAACCGCTGGTTTCACAACAACAGCAACGTGAGTCCAAACAGGGATGCTACCCCCGGACATCGGAAAACTACCTGGACAACGACGGATAGATTTGGGTTATTCGATGTCCGCCCGAAGCTGCTTTTCGATGTCGAGCCGGGACGGGCATGAAGTGATTTTCGATGTCATCTCGCTGTCATGGAGTAGTTTTTCTATGTCCGGGGATCCTTTCTCGATGTCCGGGCATGCAAACCCCGGACTGGCCCAAGGCGTGCGTGAACCGGAGAGTCGAAGACGGAGCTGCCTGCAGTGGCAGCGAAGCTCCGCAGCGCTGTGCTTCCCACGGCGGGGACCTGAGCAGTCCGGGATAACGGTGGCGGGGGGATGCTCGGAGAGCGGCACGCAGCTTGCAGCTGTCGGGCAGGTCGTAGGGGGGTTGGTACTTTGGTGGGCATGTCTGGCAGGCCTATTGCTTAGCAGTAGGGTTGAATGATGAGGTCCTTCTGGCACGCGCGGCTGTGCGTTGTCAAGCTTCGCAGCCTCTGCGAGAGTCCGAACGGCTATTGCTTGACGAAAGCACTTCACGGTAAATGAACCCTCCGGCAAGTTTCTAAGCTCTTTGTCCTGTGCGATGAATGACCCAGGGGTCAGGTGGCCCTACGCCTTTGAACCACAAAAGATAGCATAAAGATAGCATTACTGTGCTTACACGTGCTCGGCCCAATTCCACGCCAGCACTCCGAGGCTTCGTGCGGCGCTTGCGCTGCTTCCCTGGATGTGCAGGATCACATAGCTGGAGCTCCTCGCCCATGGTGCTCAAGCAGAAAGGGGTGCTAACATTAGTCTTGCTTGGACAGGCCGATTCAGACAAGTGATCCCCGCAGGATTTAATACCTGTTTTTACCGGGCTAGGTATGCTGAGTATGGAGGCAGCCCACGCCCGATTGCTAGATTTCGATCTGCTCATGCCCTTCATGCGAACCATAAACTCCAACAGGCCCTCAAACTGCAGCGTGCTACTCTGACCCCGGCCTATGCAGCTGAGCACTGAAGCTTCCCTGTCTGTCGCATAGCGACACCGGCGCCTGGCACAGAAGGGCTGGGATTTTGAGTTTAACCTTGGGAACTTGCTGGGAACTGCACTCACCAAGCAGTCGAGTTAATTCGGGACGAGCCGGAACGCTCGTGGATGTAGGTGGGTCAATGATGCTCCACTACGCAGGACACCTCCACGAAGCAGTTCCCGCGCGTGGCGAAGCGCCAGGCCTGCTGAAAGGGCCGCCTTGTGGATAAACTATTGATCACTATTGACGTTCAGCATTGTTGTTGCAAACCTATTCTTAGTATTGCAGTTGCAAAAGATGCACTTCCGGGCGGGTGCTACGAGCCTACGAAAATCTGTACGCGGTCGGCGCTTGCAAGGCAAACACGAGCAGTTCGACCACAGAAAAGCTCTCGTGCTGGAGAGCTGCATGAGGCGACTTCCAGCACGTCTGAATGGCTGCGCTGTGTGAAGAGACCGGGTTCACAGCATCCATGTCGTCCTAGTGTCCGCTTGCTCCTCAAATCATGTATAACCCTGCGTCCCCAGGCGGAAGGTTTCTTGGCCTAATTACCTCTTTGAAGAGAGCCTTGTCCTCGCTGCATGACTCAGCAAGTCTGTAGAATAATAGCATTGCGCATGAGAACAGTCCGTCCAGTGCACACACAGGCCTGCAGGTCCTGATGTCTCTGCCATTATCGACATGCTTAGAATCTGTGGCATCAAGGATCTGACATATTCGGGGCCGTCAGTGCAGGGTCATGCCTAGCATAGGATGATCAGGGGGCTCTGCATTTAGAGTGAGCCTTGATGTGATGTGCGTCCAACTCCAAGGGGGAAAACGCCTGCCTCAGATCACACAGGCCAGTGAAGTTATGGTAAGGCTGGTCGAGCATTCTCCCTCCCTCCCTCCCTCCCTCTCTCTGTCTGATTGTCACCTTGCAATCTCTGCTTTGTTTAGTCGTGGCAGTGCTGTGGCACCATTGCTCGTGCTGCAATTGCTGCTGCTCTTGCTTCCCGATCCTCTTTTCCCAGGAAACGCATCCGAATGAGGTATCGATAAAGGCCTCAACAGACTGAGGGAGGCGACTGAAGTTTGGACACAGGTCGATTCGGCAGCCAAGCAAGCAATGTCTCACGACACTCACAGATCTCCGTCGGAGCGAAGACCACAACCCTCGCAGGCAACCCCGAGCAAGCTTCAATGCTGGTCGTCAACCTGAAGCCTCAGAGCAGTGATAGATCCCAAACTCACCAGGTGCCAAGATGAAGATAGGCCCGGGATCCTGACGAGAGTCATAAGGACCGACCGCGGACCCCTATATTTTTTTAAGATCCGACAACGCTTGACAAGCAGCTCGGCTTGCCAGCTCACAGCACTGGTGCCTCCACATTGCAGGGCGGAGGCATTCGAAGCTTTGGAATGGGACCTATAGGGCGTCAAAAAGGCCCTGCACTTGGGGCTTGTGATGACGGATGGCCGATGGCTGTGCACGAAGGCCAGCCTTATCTGCCATCGACTATCAAGTCATGTTTGCAGTCGCTCTGAAGGACATGGGATCGGTCGCTAAGTTCTGTTCGTCCTGTTGGGACAAATAGACAAACACCGTCAGTCGAGACCAGGATGGCAGTAGCTGCTGCTCTTATCCTTCATGCTGCTAGCTTTGCACTGGCACATGTCGCGACACCCTCTGCTGCGCAATCCCCACCACAAGCCCGAACCCTCAAACCAATAGTCGTCTGAGCTGAAACCCTTGAAACCTGCTCGATGCTCATGTACAGGTCTGCGGGTACCATAACATGAACTCCAAGCCCCAAGCTCCAAAGCTCGCATCGCCGTGCCTTTCCCCAGTATCTCCTTAAGCCCGGTGGGCTCTGTCTCAGCGCCTCGGCTCTAACCCAACATTCTCCGTAAAGATTACGCCAAGACCTTCTGACTGAGGCCCGGGCTGACGCCCTGACCCATTGCTTGCAGGCAGTGCCGGGCTCGGAAACTAAATCTGCTTGTAATTTCTATAGGGCCCTGGAGGTGTCTTCGGACTGAACCCCAGAGTGTCGGCTCAGGATCAGGGTTTGAGCTGGCTGCCCCCTGTAGCCCTGATGGGGCTTTGGGGCTTTGGGGTTGAGGCTGGCTTGTGTGCTTAGGCCCTGTTTCAGCTCCGATCTTGACATCCGCTCATGTCTATCTTTACGGGCCTTTTGCACAATACTTGGCTGCACGAAATCAGCTTCTGAGGTAGCTTGGCCGTCTTGGCTTCAGGTGGCAGCGGCAGGCAGAAAGGCTCAAGCAGCCAGCTCCTCCAGCCCTATACAACGAAGCGCTGCGCGGTAGCATGCGATGGCGATGCAACATTGTATGGTGTACTGGTAACTTTCCGCGCAACTCCGACCCAATTACATGGCAGACTCTTCAACATCTTGACAGCCAGCAGCCCCAGAAAGGAGGCTGTGACCAGGTACATCTCCAGCAAGTATACCAGATTCACCTGCAGCTTTAGTCAGGATGCAGGTGTGTCACCGTGTCCTTCAATCCGGAGTCCTCCCTGTAATGCTGCAGGTCGACACGGTGCACCGGAAGTTGGGGCTGTGGCCAATACTCGCCAGGTCTCTTGAATCAGCCGTTCTGCATGCAGCGTCAATGGTGTGGGGGCTTGCAATGGGCTTGCATATGGGATCTACCTTGCTTTTGAATCTTCCGCCTGCTAGGCCTCGCCTCAACTGTGGATTTGATGTTGACGGTTTGATGGCTTGCGTACCTCCGCTGCACAAATGAAACCTCTTCTTTGAATCGGAATCCACGGCAGACTTGTCCAATCCTTCAATCGGAAGGGTTCAGGAGCTACCAAACAGGGCAACAACACTATACCATCGATGTCTTATGCTCTTCGTTGTGGCAGCTGTGTCTTCCCCGAACCGAACGGAAAGATCCTGCCATGGGCCCCGGGTTGAACACTTCCAGCGCTACGTGCTGACGTGTTCAGGCTTCGAGACTTTACGGATTAAGGATCTGCTGTGTGCGAGTGTCATCCAAAGTGGAACATGAGCTGCATTGGCATGGACGTTGTTGCCATCGGATCGCAACGACAACTGGCCGCGTGTGTGAAAGCTTGCCGACACACACGGGCAAGCGGAATTTCAACCTTGGTGCAGATAAGGATCGACGAACACGTAACAACTTCGCAAGCCTCTGTACCAACTAGCTCGCAAACGGCTCGAATCGCTTGATCGTATCCACTGTAGCCATGTGTACAGCTCGAAGCAGTAAGAAGACATGGAGTTTCCCGAGCTACGCTGGCGTTGGCCTGCAGCTTTCGACCTCGCCATGAACTCTTCTAAACCTCTCCCTGAACCCAAGCAACTGACAGATTCTATGGCTTGAACACACCAAACCAGAGTGGCCCGAGCCTAGGTGCGGCGTGGCTTTGGTGGGCGTGCACTGCGCGAAGGCAAGCGCGCTGTCAGCTATCTGCAGGGCTCCGACATGGAGTGTACGTAACATTACGTAGCTACCGTAACTTAGAGTTCTGCTTGCTGCAGCGTTCCCGCTTTACAAGTGCATCCTTCCTACCCGTCATTCCACTCCTTGGTCTGCTGTGTTTTGTCCAAACGACTTAAGACAGACTATTACCGCTGTTTCTGTTGCTGTTTGTCGGCACAGCTTAATTGAAGTTCTCACTTTGCTATTGCTGCGTGCTGTAGACTGTACAAGCTGCTAATGTCCAGCTTGGTAAAACATATCCCTGTTGATGCTGTTGCCACGGTGCTGCTCGTGCTGCTGTTGCTGCTGCTGTTGTTGTTGGCGTTGTGGTTGTGGTTGTTGTTGTTGTTGTTGTTGTCGTCAGCATCGTCGTCGTGGTCGTTATCGCTGTCGTTGTCGTCTTCTTCGTCGTCGTCTTTGTCGTTGTCGTCGTGGTAGTAGTAGTAATAGTAGTAGTCGTCGTCGTAGTCGTCGTAGTCGTAGTCGTAGTAATAGTAGTAGTAGTAGTAGTAGTAGTAGTAGTAGTAGTAGTAGTAGTAGTAGTAGTACTACCCGTAGTAATACACGTAATAGTAGCAGCAGTAACTGCTCCCTCACTGAGGTGATGCAAAAGTGTA